TGCTGAGTGAGTGTGCATGTGATGAGGTGAGTGAGTGTGAGTGAGAGTGTTGAGGAGTGTGAGTGCAGTGTGAGTGAGACCTGTGACGTGAGTGTGAGTGAGTGTAGTGTGATGGTGTGAAGTGAGGTGAGTGAGTAGTGAGTGAGTGTGAGGAGTGTTGAGTGAGTGTTAGAGTGAGTGTGAAGTGAGTGATGCAGTGAGTGTGAGTGAGTTATGTGAGTGAGTGTGAGTGAGTGTGAGTGAGTGAGTGTGAGTGAGTGTGGTGAGTGTAGTGAGTGAGTGTGAGTGAGTTGAGAGTGTGAGTGAGTGAGTGAGGAGTGCAGCTTGTGAGTGAGGAATGTGAGAGTGTGACTGAAATAATCATTGGTGAGTGTGAGTGAGTGAGTTGAGAGTGTGAGTGAGAGTTGAGTGATGACGTGTGAGTGAGTGAGTGTTGAGTGAGTTGTGAGTGATGAGCTGTGATGTGAGAAGAGAGAGAGTGTGAGTGAGAGAGTGTGAGTGAGAGAGTGTGAGTGAGAGAGTGTGAGTGAGAGAGTGTGAGCGAGTGTGAGCGAGTGTGAGCGAGTGTGAGTGAGTGTGAGTGAGTGTGTGTGTGTGAGTGTGTGTGTGAGTGTGTGTGTGTGTGTGTGTGTGAGTGTGTGTGTGGGGGGGAAGAAAACAAGTGTTTGGAAGACCATGAAAGTACTCAATAAACCTAATTATCAAATTTTATCAGTTGCTCATTTTGTCGAAATTACTCATTTCTTAATATTCTTATATTTTTAAATATAAAAATTCTTTTATTTTTTTATATTTTTAAAAATTAAGACCTGGAAAAGTCTTTATAGACATCCAAACTGTACCCAAAAAATAAAATTATCTCCTGGAAAATGGTCATTTTTCAGTACTTTGTGACCATTTCTAAATAATAATCTTTACCAAATGTAAACAATTACTTTTTTCTCTCTCGTTTTTCTTCATCAACTTTCTTTGAATTGTTGGTTTTGTTTAGCGTTTGCACTATGGATTACTACAACCATGTTTGGAAGTCCCTTCAGCCCTAAATTTGTTTTCCATTCTGCTGTGATACAAATGACTGAACAAGTCTACCAAGGGAAAAAAAAATAGTTAACCATAGTTCATAGAAGTTGATAATATATTCTTTTCTAACTTAAGGGTACATTGACACATGGAGGGAAAATATTTTGGAACTTGCAATACATTAGAATTTATGTAATAAAAAAAAATATAATACTACACAATGTCTTTGGTTTGTAGACACATCTCACTATCAGGGCATCTGACATCTCAGAAAGACATGTCAAGGGAAGAAAGTAGAGCTAGTACAGAAAGCAGATGAAGTTCAATGCCTAAAATACACAAGTGGAATTGGAAACATTTAAACAATGTGCATTAGAAGAGCTTCCATGCTATGTAAGCTACAGGCCTGTACAATATGTAGATAACAGCTACTGCTCTATGTTTTAGACGTAGAAAACAGCATCTGTCCCCACACAACAGGGATAGGCAACTACAGACAGCTGACCTGCAGTTCACTTGTCGAAGATTCACTTGATTCATCGATGGCCTCTCCATCTCGGCGAATCATCCGGATAACCTGATTTTCGGAATTAGATCATTGGTTTTTAAGATTCCCATTAAAAGCAGGAAAAACTAAATTCATGGTGAAATGGATAGGAAAAAACAAATACATCAGTGCACATTACGTCTATTATTAAAATGTGCACAAATCAATTTACAAATGAACAACATTTAAAAATTTACTAAACAAGGCTGTAAAACCTCTTGAAAATAAAAATTCTGAATTAATGCTTTTTGAACAAGAGAATAACTTTTCCAGCTAAGAATTTCTTCATGGATTTTAAAAAATATCAGAATGTATCTGAATAATTAAATTTCTAATGTTTCTTTGAGGAATTAATGCCCATTATACTCCACAAACCCTACCTACCCTCATTTTTCTTCTTTCTTACAGCATCAATTTCTGTAAATAAAGATCTACCAACTAGCAATAAACCAAAGGAATGTGCAAAATAAGATAACACAGAAAACTCTGGAGTGACACTTATGGTGATGCAAACTGCCACTAACAGGTATGAAAGTGCTAAAAATCAAATTCTACATTCCTACTTCTTGTAAGTGAAATAGCTTACATTTTCTCACATTAATCTGTTAGCTCGACAATTTTATTAAACTGATCACTTCCCAAATAATGCATCGGTGTCTTACAAAAATTTAATACAGTGGAATCTTATTAGTACATTGTTTTAGAAATCAAGAATGTTTAACAGCTTAAACAGGAAAATGTCTAGTCAAATAATACTCCATTGTCGTTTTGATCATTCCTTTCAGAACATTATTAACAGGAAAGAGACATTAATTTACACATAAATAACACACAAAATAAACTAATGTAACTTGAAATGAAATCCTGATAAAAACTGAATTACTATTAAAAAATGAACCAACACTATAAAATAATGCAAATTAACAGAAAAGAACAATAGAAGTAGCATCCTCAGGCTCTGACATCTTAATCAAATGGACTGAAAATCTCTCTACGCTCTGAAATACAATTCAACTACCCTAAAGTACTCTGTAAATAACACGCATTAAATATTGTGCTACTGAACCAGAAAAGGAGTGAATTGTGGAACATTACTAAGAAACTCAGAATTGTGCTAAGTAGGATTGTTAAACATACAAATAAGTAATTGAAAGGAATTTGGACGGCAACTTACAAATGCTCATGTGCTGTAAGGGAAAATGCGGGAACAGGGAACTTGCTAAGGAGATTCCACTGTATATGCAAATTGAATTATGAGAGTCAGTCAGAAAGTAATGCCCTGCATTTTATTCTTCATCCAATAACTGTACACAGTTTTAATTGTTTACCCCTTTAAGTTCATACTTCCTGTATTTGTATATAATAGTTTCAAGTCATTCATATAGAGCGCAAATCTGTAAAGAACTGTTAAATTGGTGGCTGGAGACATTATGCATTGGAAACTGTGTGATGCGACACGAGTTCCTCACTGCGGAGAAGGAAACTTTGGAACATCCATAAACACGTGTACACTAGAGTGAAACTCCATTTATACATTTCTCGCTTATACGTTTTTCATGTATATAGGTTTTTTTTGGTAGGTCCCGGATAAATCCCTATAATTCCCATGCTAAATTTCACATTTATATGTTTTTTAACACTAAGACATCCGTAATAAAGTCTCTTGAAGACCATATAACTTCCAAATGATCACGGTGAAGCACGGGCGACCTGCGCCGACAGCCCAGAACTTGCATGTTACTCGGGTCGGCAGGATTCATAGCGCTCCCAACGAGCGTCTCGTCGCACAGCCTCTGAGGTGACTTCGCACTAATGAAACTTTTAATATAGAAGCCCTATTCACCCTAGCTGAAGGTCCAAGATCACGCAAGGCCACATGGTGGTAGAGCAAAGTCAGCTCCCAGGGCACCTCCAGCAGCGGACCTTCAAAAAATTTCAGAGCCAGGTGCACTCAGGAGGTCTTTGAAGATCTCAGAGGTGACGGCTAGTGCCAAGGAAAGGTCAAAGACATCCCCAGAGAAAATCCTGCTTGGCCGACAAGTCCTCGCTCACCGGGGTAAGGTGCAGGGGGAATTGGTCAATTTCAAGGTCTCACCCTGCAAAGGGCTTGCTTTCCAGTCTTGTTGAATAATCGGTTTGTGACACCTTAGTTGAAGTTCACTCTCAAACAGAGAGGATTTGTGTATGACTCATACATACAATATTCTAAACCGTTATGTGCATTGTATCCTGAAGCCTTTCTTCCAAATGTTGACTAATGAAAAGTGTATTTACGGTCATTTTCAACAGGACTGCAACCACACACACGGCTTCAGTTTCTTTGGAGGTTTATATGCCATTTATGGAGACAGAATTATCACACAAGGTTTGTGGCCTGCATGCCTTCCTGATCTGACTGAACAACTTCTTTTTTTGGGGATTCCTGATAGATTGCCCATATGTGACAAATCTCCTCACAGAAGAAGAATTAAGGCACAATATACAGATACAGAACTCTGGCAATATCACGAGACATTCTTTACTGAGCGAACCAGAACATATTAGATGCCAAGAATGTACCAGAAGCTGCGGTGAGCAGTTCTAGCATCTACTATAATGCAAGTACAATTTAAGCCTTCCAGTAGTGAAACGCCATCTTGCCTCTTTAGCAATTCTACCAACTGCCCTGTCTCAATTTCCCCTATATGCATGCCTTTGTTCACAGAGGCCAAATCCCCACATAACTGGCATGTTTATAAAATGGTCAGACTCCAAATTCCAATGGGTGGCTGTTCGGAATTGTTGAAGCAGTTTCATCATGAGGGAGAAGCTTTACACTCTAGGATAATCTAAGGAGATAAAACATGGGGATACCATTTTGAAACAAACTGAAACAGTCTCTTAAGAGTTGAGTTGTCCACTCTCACCATTCAAGAATAAATTCGAGATGGTTTCCTCAGATGGAAAACTCAAGAACACTGTTTTTTGGGTCATTGATGGTGTCATTCATTTGATGTTATGCCCAATGGCACTACCATCAATTCCAATTCCCGCATCAATACTATGAAAACCCTAAAGAGATATTTACAGTGATTTTGATTCCAGAAGAATTGTGATCTAAGTTTGCTTCTGCATGATAATGCATGACCACACAGAAGTGTCACGACACGATAAACGCTTACAAAAAGGAGTTGGCCAGTATTTCCCCCTCTGCACTACATTTTAGATTTAGCCACCTCTGGTTTCCATTTCTTGATGTCAACGTTATTAATGGAAGAAAATTGAAACCTAATGTTTGCATTGACCCATGGAACGAAGGGACGGCTACATCAGAAGGACAAACACTGGTAGCAGCGAGGGAACCTCACCCTTGTGTTATGCTGGTGTAAGGCTGTACAAATTCACAGATTATTTTGAAAAACAGAACCTTGAATTAATATTGTCGGTAAATTTCAGGATATTTTAATAAATATTTCTAAAGTAGAGCATTATATTCTAACTGACTTTCATGTTTTACTCCTGAAAGCGATATTTAATTCAAAATGTGAGCATTTCCTTCTACCAAAAGCCTTTTCAAATTTAGGAGAAACATTGATCATTTTATTACCAATCTTTCACGTCCTTAAAGAAAAAAAAGAAAAAGAAACCATAATTTTAAGCATTTTGTCATGAAATACATCTTGCTAAAAGAAAGGGCAACCTGATGCTCTATTCTAATACTTCATAAGAAACTCCAAGAAGTCCTACCTCTGGTGCCAAATACTCTGGTGTACCGCAAAAAGTCTTCGTAGTCCGTCCATAAGTGATATCCTCTTTACAAAGGCCAAAGTCTGCTATTTTGATGTGCCCATCTTTATCTAGAAGCAGATTCTCTAGCTGGAAAACAAAGGTTCTTTTAAGATAAAGGTTAACCAAATTTACACAACGGCATCAACTAGAGACCTGTCAAGATGAGGCTGATCATTGAAATAATGATGATAGTAAAAATAAAAATAATAACAAATAACAATAAATAATAAACATTAAATCTGCCTTTTCCTTCACTAAAATCAAACCCTTCTCTGTGTATTAAACAACTTAATTTCTTTTAGAAACATCATAAATATATTTTTACTGTGAACCACATTTACCTTGAGATCACGGTATATAATACCCTCCGAATGCAGGTATCCTAAAGCTGAAATAATTTCTGCACCATAGAACCGAGTTCTATCTTCCGAAAAGACTCGTTCCCTTGATAAATGGAAGAAAAGTTCTCCTCCATTCACATATTCCATAACGAAGCACAGTCGATCCGCTGTCTGGAAAGAGTACTTCAGAGACTGGAACAAGTAGAAATGGACATATGTTGGTTTCCTAGAATCAAAACTCTTCCCCAGAGGCAGGGGAGAACTCTCCGAAAACCCACCAAAAGCTCACTGATGTCTGCTACAAATTCTACACGGATTGGTCGAAGATACCAAAGTCAGTATTATATTTACATCCCTGCTATCCACCTTAACTTAAAAACTTAATGCATCATGTATACCTAAAAATCAATGAAAATTTTTCGCACAAGGCACATCGGGAATTACAAAATTTGGTTGAGAAAATTCTTTCCAAATGAAAACCTTGCCATCCACAAAATAACCAACAAATTAATGAATTTAAGAATTACAATTCAAAACACACACTGCCTTAGGGACACCGCAAAGTATATTAGGTATTCATAATCTGATCAGACCTTAGACCTTATAAACACAACACACATTTCACATGATGGAGGGCAAGAAATGCAAAGAGTATATGGCTAAAATAAAGGTCCCCACCCAGTAGTCACTACTTCTCACTTTGCATTTCACGACTTTTACAACGTACCACTTAATATCCCTTTAGAAAATATTTACTATATAATTTTGTAATTTTGTTTTTAAATCTTAAAAGAAATCATACCATAAAACATTCTAATAAAAATAAGAACATTTTAAATAGTTTTTTTAAAATTTTCATTTCAAAGATACGATGTTCAAAACATTTTTGCCCCAATCTCAAGATAAGACATTTAAAGAGGGGAGTTGCTTTAGCCAGCATGAACCAGCGCATACTCACAATGAGGAAGGGATGATTGGTTGTGCGGAGCACTCTATTCTCCGTGAGCGTGTGCGCCACCTCATCCTTCTGGATGATCACTTCCTTCTTGAGAATCTTGATGGCGTACAGGTGACCTGTAGCTTTCTCTCTGCACAAGATGACCTTTCCAAAGGTGCCCTTGCCCAGCACCTTCAAGAACTCAAAGTTTTCCAGGGTCTGCAAAACAACACAAATTCAGCACATGTCACAACACTAAAATGAGAATAAAAAGAAAGAAAGAAAATTAAAAAAAAGAAAGAAAGAAAGAAAGAAAGAATAAAAAGAAAGAAAGAAAGAAAGAAAGAAAGAATAAAAAGAAAGAAAGAAAGAAAGAAAGAAAGAAAGAAAGAAAGAATAAAAAGAAAGAAAGAAAGAAAGAAAGAATAAAAAGAAAGAAAGAAAGAATAAAAAGAAAGAAAGAATAAAAAGAAAAAGAGAATAAGAAGGGGGAGGGGAGGGGTGTTAGGCGCCAGCACTCACCACTTTCTTCTTGCCGGAGCTCTTGGAGGCCGAGGTGCCCTGCACGGAGAACTTGGCGCCGAGCTCGATGAGCGCGTCCTCGCTGTCGCCGCCGCCGCGCGACGAGGACGCGCTGCCGGAGCCCGAGCCGCCGCCCGCGGGCTGCATGTCCACGTCGCCCTGCTCCGCCAGCCGGTCCGCCACGCCGCGGATCGCCGCCACCCACTCCTCCCTGCACACGCAACCCACACGCGTTCACTCGCATGCAAACAGGCGCGGGTATGCGGAGGCGCGGGTATGCGGAGGCGCGGGTATGCGGAGGCGCGGGTATGCGGAGGCGCGGGTATGCGGAGGAGCGGGTATGCGGAGGAGCGGGTATGCGGAGGAGCGGGTATGCGGAGGAGCGGTATGCGAGGAGCGGGTATGCGAGGCGCGGTATGCGGAGCAGCGGGTATTGCGGAGGCGCGGTATGCGGAGGAGCGGGTATGGCGAGGAGCGGTATGCGGAGGAGCGGGTATGCGGAGAGGAGCGGGTTGCGGAGGAGCGGGTATGCGGGAGCGCGGTATGCGGAGGGCGGGTATGCGCGGGAGGCGCGGGTATGCGGAGAGAGGCGGGTATGCGGAGGAGCGGGTATGCGGAGGAGCGGGTATGCGGAGGCGCGGGTATGCGCGAGGCGCGGGTATGCGGAGGCGCGGGTATGCGGGCGTAGCGGAGGCGCGGGTATGCGGAGGCGCGGGTATGCGGAGGCGCGGGTATGCGGAGGGCGGGTTATGCGGAGGAGCGGGTATGCGGAGGAGCGGGTATGCGGAGGGCGGTATGCGGAGGCGCGGGTATGCGAGGCGAGGATGCGGGGTAGCTGGAAGGGCGGGTATGCGGAGGAGGCGGGTATGCCGAGGAGGCGGTATGCGGAGGAGGCGGGTATGCGGAGGAGCGGAGGGTATGCGGAGGCGATGAGGACTCACGTTCGCGCTCGCTGTCGACGTGGAAGGTGCGCTCGATGACGGTGGTCCACTGCACGGCCGCGATGACGAAGGTGTAGGGCTTAGGGCGGTCGCCACGCCATGATCTGGCAGCCCTTCACCGTGAAGTTGTTGAGTGGGTCGCCCAGGCGTCTGCTTCGGGCCGGTTCTTGAAGCCGATGAGGGCGCCATTCTCCAGCAGCACGAAGTAGCGCGATCGCCAGTTCTTGATGTGCTCCCCTGCGCAAGCCCACACACAGGCGTTCGTCAGGCACACCCTTCCTTGTGTCATGAACAATTGAATCGTTTTTTCAGAACACCAGTCAACGCCAAAATCTAAAACGCGCAATTAGCGGCGCATTTTTGACCCAAGAGAATAGACACTTCATTTAATGCATACTTGTATGAACACATATTCTGTTATAGACTGATTTAATAACTAAAAATATTTTGAAATCTGAAAATTTGGGAGACTCAATTTTTCTTGAAATTAGGAATTTGGCGTTTTCAAGCGATTCTAAAATAAACCAATTTAATTTTTGGAAAAAGGTGTAAATGGATGAGACAAACAGACCCGGCCCGAATCCATAGCCGGTATTTAAATCGTACGTCGTTAGTTTTAAGTATACTCTGCCTTACATTTTGACTGTCATTTAATTATCTAATCAATTTTTTATATAGCCAAGGTTCCAAAAGCAGATTAACAATATTACCACGTTCTAAATATCATAGAAGATTTATAGTGTTATTACTAACACTGGGATAGGCTGGGAATAGCAATCTGTTTCGCGCCGCTTGGAGATAGACATCAGTGACAGTTTTCAAAAGCCTTTGATTGAGAGCATTGCACATTGTAAGTTTAATACCGGAAATTTTCTTTACATCATGCGATTTTTTTTAATCGATCTTTCTGAACAAATATGCTGATCTGAAGAAAACATCGGAAGCAAAACATCTGTTTCTGCGCGAAAATATCTAAGGTTTAAACACATTTTTTTCGCCGTCACTACTCCACCGCGCTTGTAGAGCCAGCCCTCCTTGACGACGGCGGGGCAGGCCCGCCGAACGCGGCAGAAGGATGCGAGCGCGGCGCCCTCCCGTCCGACCTGCCCGCGGCCGGCCCCCGGCCGGGCCGCCGCCTGCTGCCAAGCCGCGCCGCAACCGCCGCCGCCTGCGCCGCCGCTGCCGCCGCCGCAGCCGCGGCTGCAGCCCCGGCGTCAGCCATCGCCGTCCCGCCTCCTGCAACACACAACAGCGCCACGTCAACGATGCGGAGCTTCAGGGCCGGCGCAGTGCCGGAGCTAGACAATTTTGGGGCCCGGACAATGCTGAAACGTAGCCCCCTCCCAAAAAAATTTAAAAAAGGTGGAAGTTGTATCAAGGAACCGACTTATTTTTATTTCAACAAATAAAAATTACGTTTAAGCTTGAAATAGTTTTGGGAAATAATTTAACTAAAAGTTTTAAGTAAAAGTGTTTAGTGATCAAATAATATTTCCACGATTAGTTTAAAACACTAACAAAACTGTTGTGTTTAGTTAGTGTTTAATAAAATTACTTATTAAATACATGACATAACACACATGAATTTCAGTAGAACCTACTTTAATCTTGGCGTCATTTGATTAATTTTGTAGAGTCCTACCTTGAAAGTAATGACTATAATGAACTATTTAAAGTAAAAAATGAATTGAAAGTTGAAGATATTATCAGACCATTGTATTGCAACTTAAATTACGATGACAATGTTCTCAAGTTCTCATTTCTTTTTCATTTTTTATAAAAAATGTTATTTTTTTTTAATTTACAATTTTTTTCGATTTTTTTTCCAATTTTATTTCTTGTAAGTCGCATGATCGGGTCCGTTGACTTGCGGAACCCGGACGATTGTCTTCATCTATTTCGCTCTCATACGACCAACGACGCTGCACGACCGTACGAAACCACGTGCGGATGAGCCTGAGGGACTGCGACATTGTGTTATGCTTTATAACAAAAGAGTGTAGCCAAATGGACACGTGACAAGAGTAAACGCATTCCACTATGCAAAAAATTTTCGATTTTCTGGTCCTGAGCAATGAGTAAGCAGAGAAAGATTTTTGAATTGGCGCAGTCGCAGTGTGTAAGTAAGAGAGTGAGGATAGGAAAAGGAAGAGGAAGAAATGATCGCGCGTGGTCCATGGTCCGTTTGCTAGAGTCCGTTTGCTACCAATCAGTGTAGCCGGCCGCTCGAAATCTCCTCGAGTCAACGGCGGAACTCTACCTAGCTGCCTAGCCGGTGTATAAAATCTTGCCACCGTCGGGACTCTAACCGTAAGACCTCCCGGTCAGAGACACTGTAGCGACAGTAGTTGATACCCTGAGCTACCTACATTGGTCTCTCAAGTGGTCGTTCACAATACTCTCCAGTGTAGGCTCGTGCCGTTGTAACATGTTAGCGCAAATACCAAAAATGATCACTATTTAGAATATTTTTTTCTTATATATATATATATATATATATATGAAATAGGCATAATTCTGTCATTTGTTAAGTCGGTGCGTCGTTTTCTTGCAAAACTAACTTTTATGCAAGAGAATGACCCGAGTGATACAAGTTTATGTGGCTTTGCTACAACCTTCTACTTCAACATCAGAACATACGGGAAAACTGGTTAGTATATTGTAGTAATTGCTAACAATGATAAATGTTGCCAAACGCTGAAAACATTAGTAATTATATGTTTTGAGGTTGGCGCAGTACACTCCTGGAGGTTTTCAATCCGCGATGACATGCGAAATCGATCGCAATATGCGAAATCACTTGCAAAGTGCGAAACCGTCGTGAATCTGCGAAATAATTACTAAATTGTATTTTTGATTTTTTTTTTTTTTTTTCATCTTCACTTTAACTAGGGATGCAACATCAACAACACATCGACGTTTGAAAACATTTAATTCGACAGAGGCCGTGTTTATTAATTTAAAATTGAGTTTCAACTCGCAAAGCAAGTAAAAAAGAAATAAGAACTTTCTTTTTTAAACTTATCCTGAAAGCCTAAACGCTCAGGTCATCACGGGGGGGGGGGCTCGACTTCCTCAATCCATTATTTGGAGAAGATAACGCCCTAAGGAGAAGGCCCAATCCCGGATCGTATTATTAATAATCGTATCGTATTAAACTTTTCTTGTAAGTTCGCACAAACCGATTTCTTTCTTCATTACATTTGCGATGATCTACAAAAGAAATAAGCGAATGTAGGCAGTCGGCATGCGTCACCGCGGAGCAAGGCAGTTGTTACACAAAGTCTGTCTAGGTGCAGTATACCATGGGTACACCTACAATGTTCTCCCTCTCTCCACATGACCGGCCGGCCCCTATAGACTGGGTCCGGTACGAGCGGAATAGGGACACATACGGCCGCACCTAGATAGCGCCAGCTGCAGTCCGGAGGCCCACACTGAGCACAACCTGGCGGGACCGACTCTACACTGTTACCGGCGACGAGACGCACACAAGGGAACACAACTGTCCAGGTATAAAAGGTAGTGTAATGCCCGCAAAAGTCTACACCGAGAACGCATTACAAAACAGATACGAGAAAAGTGTAAACTTTGTACAAGGGAGATGTATTGACTACCACGGACTTTTAAGTGTTTCTTGCTCGCTTCGGTCGACAGGCGGGCTTCCTCGAACTTCTCAATTTCATTTGTTAGCTGACATTTAGGTACTCGCTGCTGCAGGTTGGCACTCAACAGCAACTAGGACTGACTGACAGGTTACAAGGTGGAGCAGTGAAAGGTGCTATTTTATTTTTTCCCTTTAAACTGACATGAACTAGGGGGGGGGGGGAAGTATTGTTGGAAATAATTATTCTTAAATGCGCTTGTACTGAACCAAAGCACTACGAATATAAAAATAAAAATTTGAAGAAAGGAACATTAAGGGGTATTTGAAAGAACTGAATGAATTCTTTATTTTTTATAATTCGTTTATGAATTTGTAATTATTAGTTGATTTAGTTATGAACTGTTTCATCATTTACCATTTATTCATAATTCAACTAGTAATAAAGGTAAGAGATTCCTAAGGTCAAGAACTTGCACATATGTCACATACACATTTTACATATTACTATTACAAATATTACTATGTATTCAAACTTTACTTCATTGAGAAAATCCAATAAGGCTTAAATACGCAAGTAAGCGTGAGGGGGTGAGGAGGCGACTCTCCTAGCCCCTTCTCAGTTAAGTTACTTTTACGTCCAGAGACTGGACGTAGAGAGCGGGGAACAAGAGGGGGCACTACTTTTAAAATCCAGACGGGTCGGTTGAAAAACCCTCGAGCCTAATCAACTCGCAACGCTGCACTGATAAATGACCAAGCAAATCCACCTTGGAAAGGAACATTGCTCGCTAAGTCACGCTGAAGTCTGGTGGACTACCATCTAGTGAGGTGACCTCGATCAAAAACCTCGATGTTCAAAATTGAGCCATCGATGTTAACAGTGCATCGATAAAAAACAATCGATACTTTTAAAGATAGACTTTTAAAGGAGGTTTAACGACACTGGGGCACAACAAAATGTAATTTGCCAGTAGCAGTGTTTATCAATTTATTAATAAGATTCATTAGTACACTAAGTTGAATAATAAGAACAATTGAGTTTTGATGAAAGTACAAACCTCGTTAGTTTGTTTTAAACACAAACTGACTGATCAGATATTACTTCTGATTATTAACTTTTACACATTAATTGTGTTAGGCAAAATTATTTTGACGATGAGAATTTTCCTTTTATCAAACGAAATATCAAAAATTTAAAACATGGAGCACAAAATATCCACGTTTAAAACCTTCGGCCTTAATATATCTATTTAAAGCATCGATGTTTTCAAAACACGCTTTTTTTTATAGAAATAACGAGATACATGTGTATCGATTTTGTTCGTTCAAACTTGCGTATCGAGTTTAATCGTTTAATGTCATCTACAAATGTGCTGTAAAATAAAGCGCACATATTGCATGAGAGTATTTTTAGAGGGCTATTGATTCAGTCGATATGATTTTTCCTCAAGACACGGAACGTATCAATCCTGAGCCTCCGCAATTAAAACGCCGGCAAACAACTTGTTTTCATCGACGTGAGAAGTGTTATCTTGAGCGTGTCACGAAGTGGGAAAAGCTCTGACGACCCTCTGATAAAAAAAGAATGATGTCAGTCTCCGAAATATTGGAATTTTATTTTTTTTCAAATCTCTCACTTCGTTAATATTTACATCACGGGCGTTTTTATACATTGTTGCATT